TCAAAAGGGGCACTACTAGTGTTGTGTACTTTTCATTGGAGCACACCTTTCGCTAGGAAGGGATCAGTTACGAGTACGAAATGCTATTCATATACACGTCGGATAGCGCGATAAGGCAGTTACATTCCTCCGCCTGGCATTCCAGTTCAAATACTAGTGAGGTAGACAACCTCATGTCATGCGTTAAAATAGTAATGACATTGCCTACGGGCTCATTGGGACACTCAAGTACGAAGGAATTCTCCACTTAATTAAGGAAGGTGTCAGAGACAAAGGATCAAAGCAATGGAAAAGCAAGGGAACGAGGCGACCGGAGGGAGGGTTTGGTATGGTAGTGAGACCAATAGGGAAACATAATAAGGCGTTCTTTATATGTCCGGAATCCTTGTCACGACCACTACAACTTTCTTCATCGATATCGGGTTTATCTAACACTTTAATTTCGACGCTTATTTTTATTCTTTATTTATTATACCTTTATAATAAGTATAAAGCACATAAATTCACATAATTCACATAATACTCAAATAATTCATCTTTATTACTTCAAAATAGGTTACAATGGTTGACCTGACTATTACATTACTATACTAATGCTTAGTCCCGAAACACGGGCGTTACATCTTTAGCTGTGAATCTGGAGCTATACATTCGTCGAAGTCTTGGAGTGAAAGGAAAGTATCGCAACACTTTTTGTGATACTTTCTTCCCCTTTGTAGTTGTGTCCACCCATCTACTCTCCTTACAAATAGGGCAATTCTGCATGGAACCGTTCTACTTCCAAAACAAAGCACAATCATTTTTGCAAGCATGGACTGATTGATATCCTAACCCTATCATTCTCAACTTCTTTTTAGCTTCATAGTGTGAAGCTGGAATCTTGCTCTTCGGGAAAGCAACTCTTAGTAACTCTACAAGTTGGTCAAACGAACTACTTGTCCATTTATTGATCACTTTAATATGCAACAACTTTGCCAAAAAGTTTAAGGCATATATATCGCTACATTCAGGGTATAACTTGGTATTGAGCTCCTCAAACAAATCATCAAATTCCGGGTCTATACCTCGTCCCTCCTCGTCTATATTTTCTTCATTTGTATTTTGTTCTGCCATAACATCATCAATTACATCAAACATCTCATTACTTGTGGGCGTGTTTACTGGAGTGTTTGTTCTTGGAGTCAAATTGTAGCTTAAATCCGAAGAACCGACATGTTTCTCACCGTGATAAATCCACGTAGTATATGTTTCTAGAAAGGACTAATATTATAAAAGTCCTAAATTTTTAACGCGCAATTGGAAAAAGCCATAATATTTTTTTTATTATTGCTATGACCACAACTTTCTCGCAGAATTATTATTCTAGCCCACTTAACGAGTTTCATGGTTAACTTGGTTAAATTTTTGCAAAATCAGTCCTAAAAAGTTCAAATTTAGTCCCTGAGGTTTGCAAAAATTACACCACATGGTTTTTTAACTTTATTTTTCATTTTTTGTATACTTTATTTATTTTCGGTTTTTTTATAAATATATATACGTTTTTTATTTTCTTTTTTTATATACTTTATTTATTTTCATTTTTTAACTTTAGTTTTCAACAATTTGATTTTTTTACCTTTTATACATTTTGTTTTCTATTTTTTTTCTATCTTAGTTATTTATGGTTTTTCTAATATTTTTATTTATTTTGATTCAAGTAAACGAACTCGAATTTAATATAAATTACTATAACAAGTTTTTTATAGAGACCGATTATTATTATTATTATTATTATTATTATTTTTTTCTTTTAGTCTATTATCAAATTGAAAAATATTATCTTGAATTTAAACTATTGATATCACGCATAAAAATATGATTTAATTTCGAAGTTATATAACACATTGAAACACTAATTCTCAATAAACAAGCTAATTTTTTTTTTAATTTTCATTTTTTCGTAACATAAATATAATAGCACTAAAGAAAAAAAAGTAAAAAGAAAATAAGTTGGACCGAAATTACAAATATAAACATAACAAATTTATTTACTTGAATAAAAATAAAAAAATTACAAAAACTGTAAATTATATAAATTGTAATATAATCTAATATATTAATACATTTTATATTTTTTGAAAAAGGTCAATAAAAAGTTAAAAATACAAAAAAATAAAAACAAATAATTGGAAAACAAATAAGAAAAAAATAAAAAAAAAGATGAAAAAATAAAAATATAATACAAAAAGAAATATGAAAAAAAACTAAAAAAAACTCTAATATACTCGATATATACACTATAAAATAGAAAAAAAGGTAAAAAAAAAATCAAATTGATGAAAAATAAAGTTAAAAAATGAAAATAAATAAATTATATACAAAAACGAAAATAAAAAATGTATATATATTTATAAAAAAACCGAAAATAAATAAAGTATACAAAAAACGAAAAATAAAGTTAAACATCATGTGGTGTAATTTTTTGCAAACCTCAGGGACCAAATTTGAACTTTTGGGACTGATTTTGCAAAAAAATTAACCAAGTTAACCATGAAACTCGTTAAATGGGCTAGAGTGATAATTCTGCGAGAAAGTTGTGGCCATAGCAATAATAAAAAAAATATTAGGGCTTTTTCCAATTACGGGTTAAAAATTTAGGGTTTTTATAATATTAGTCCTAGAAACCCAATGTCATGTAAGTGGGCATAAACCGTAGGTAAAACATATCGATACGAATTCACACACGTTTTACACGGGCAACACACTTTGCCTTTAGAGTTGTCATGTTTATCAGCAATCTTCATTAAGTTTTGAAGACCTTCCAAGTATTTTGAAGACATTCGGTTCTCTCTAATCCAACTCTTATCGATCGTTATTGTTGTTTCATTATTAAAAATTATATTATATATATATATATATATATATATATATATATATATATATATATAGTTATCGAAAGTTAGATTGTATTTGGGCTATATAAATAAATATATACCCGAGAACGGATAGAGTATTCACAAGTATATAAAAAATATATACTCGAGAAGTAAAAATCAGATGGATTGGATAGAGTATTCACAATGGTTACGAAAAATAAACTTAAACTAAAAATCAACGATTCAACGTGTTTTAATAAGAAAATCATATTATACGGTACATTATTTTAATATTAATATTAATTTGATTTTAAAACTAATTTAATTTGATTTTATAATTAATTTGATTTTATTTTAAAATTAATATTAGTTTGATTTTAAAACTAATTTAATTTGATTTTATTTTAAAATTAATATTAATTTGATTTTAAAACTTATTTAATTTGATTTTACAATTAATTTAATATTTTCTTTTTATTGATTTTTTTAAAATTAATTCAAATTTATTTTATAATTAATTTTAAATTACTAAAAGTACATTGTTATTAATAACCTAATTAAGCTAAAGTTGTAATGACCAACATTAAGTCACTAACAAAATTAAGCACTTTGAAACCATATGAAGCACTTTACAATACAAACAATAGCATCCAAATACAAAAACTATAACTTATCTATTAAGAACTTTATCACTTCATCTTATATACACTCAAACTATTAAACCTAAATATCACATGATCATACATGTACACAATACATTCAATTCCAATTTTCATTTCATTTTAGACATACAATACAAATGTATACATCTAAATACAAAATCAAACATCATACAAAATCAAAATCAAACATACAATTCCAATTTTAATCCAATTTCATACAATCATACCTTATAGCACCTTATATTTTAGACATCAAATTTAAATTTCATACAAATGTATAAATCTAAATACAAAATCCAACATCATTCTTAATTTCATTTTCTTGCCAATACACCACAATGAGCATAAACAAATCATGCCTAACTTCATTTCCATTTTCATACCAAAACACACTTTCATACCTCAAAAAAAAAATATATATATATATATATATATATATATATATATATATATATATATATATATATATATATATATAAAAGCAATCAACCAAAAAAAACCCTGAGAAAGTATATATCATGGTGTATTGAAAGGAACAAAAAAAAAAAATTCATAAACTGCATTCACGTAACTTTGATGTTAAGCAGGAAAAAAAATCAAAAAACTTACCTCAAAATCGGTGGTGAAGATAGGTCAATCACCGAAAATCGTTTTCTATGGTGGTGGTGAAGGTTCTTGCCGGCCGACGGTGATAAGGCTGTGATTTAGGGCTCCAACAACCGGAAATAAATCCCCCAAAATCGGAGTAAAAACTCAAACTATTAAAAATTAAGAAGAAATCAAGGACCAAGACCCTTACCTTTAGCTCGCCGATGAAGTGGAATGCCGGAAACTTCCTTGCGATCGCCGAAGGTTGAGAGGGAAATGGAATTGCAGCCGACTGCAAAATGAACGCTGAAAGCGTGTTTTGTTATAGGGAAATCCTATACCGACGACATGTCGTCGGTATAGGTAAACGAAAACGACGTCGTTCCACTTCACGTCATTAAAAAAGAAAATAAAATAAAAAAGGGTTTTCACGCGGATCGGTCCCACCTTTTCCAGACGACATGTCGTCGGCATAGCGTGACGAAACGACATCGTTTTCCATTTTTTTAATCAAGTAATGCGATACTCGGATTAGTTTACAAATGTGTTAAGAACAGAATTCACATGTGGTAGGTCATCAATATGAAATAGTCATTCTACCACTGACAAAGACAAGACTACCGAAATAGATTCTGGGTTTCTTATTTAACAAAAATTCTATGGTTTGATGTCAAACTTGCCTTTGACCAACACTGCCTTCGACAAACTATGGGCCGAATGCAAGCCTTATTAGGTCTAAACGAGCCGAGCGACACAATACACCTCGACCACTCAGGCCTCGAACGTATGGGCTTTTAGAGCAAAAAAGAAAAAAGAAAAAGAATAAAACGAAAACAAAGATTTGGATCGCTCTCCTTTGAGATCTTCGCTCCCTCCCTGCCAGCCTTCTGGCTCCATGAGCTTCAGAAGAACCCCACCTTTTGCTCATTCGGCTGCAAGCTCTGTTTCCAAAAATGCCTATTCAGGTAACCTTTCATCTTTACTTCAAGAATCCATTCAAAAAGTTCCCCCCTTAATCCCCAAAAGAACCCAACTTGAATCTTTCCTCACCATCAATTATAAATCATCTACCATAAATCTCGATAATGCATCGCACTACTTTGATTACATGATTCTTCTACAACCCATTCCTCCAATTTCTTCATTCAATCAATTGCTTAATTCTGTATCCAAAATTAAACACCATAAAGTTGCAATCTTCCTTTATCGTAAGATGAACGAAGCTCACGTTTCCCCTAATTTAATTAGCCTAAACATTGTTCTTAATTGTTATTGTGATATGAATCAAGTAGATTTTGCTTTTGGAGTTTTGGGCATGATTCTAAAAAGGGGTTTCACTCCTGATATTGTTACCTATACATCTTTGGTTAAAGGATTGTTTAAAAGAAACAAGATTATTGAGGCTGTTAGACTATTCAAGAAGTTTATTAGGTTAGGTGTTAGGCCTCATGTTATGACTTATGGGACTTTGATTAATGGGTTGTGTAGGAATGGAAAAATCGAGGCTGCAGTTAGATTACACGAAGATATTATGAGTGGGAATATTGGTTTAGGGTTTATTTGTAAGCCCAATATAGTGTGTTATAGCATATTGATCACTAATCTTTGTAAAGATGGATTTATAAACAAGGCGAAAGAGCTTTTCTTGGAGATGAAGAGTAGAAGAATCTCCCCGGATGTGGTTGTGTATACTATTTTGATCAATGGATTGGTTTATTCGGATAATTTAGACGAGGCTAAATATTTGTTCATTGAGATGATGAATGAAGGGATTTCTCCTAGTGTAATGACGTTTAATCTTTTAGTAAACGTGCTTTGCAAAGAAGGGAAGTCAAATGAAGCAAGTGGGTTATTTGAGTTGATGGTTCAAAGAGGAGAACAAGTTGATTCTTTTTCATATAACTTGTTAATGGAGGGGTATTGTTGGGAAGGTAAGATCGATAAGGCTAGGGAGTTGTATATTTTGATGGTGGATAAAGGAATCGAGCCTGATGTTAGAACCCACAACGTGCTTATTAATGGGTATATCAAGATTAATAGAACAGAGGAAGCTATAAGGATCTTTGGACAAATGACTCGTAGTAGAAAAATCAAGCCTACGATTGTTACCTACAACGCGTTATTAACAGGTGTGCTTAAAAAAGGTGATGTTTTGAATGCACAGAAGCTGTTTGATGAAATGCTTCATGATCTCACACCAAGTTCTTGTACATATAACATCATGTTAAACGGGCTTTGTAAGAATGAGTGTGTTTTGCAGGCTCTAGACTTGCTTCAAACCCTAGAAAACAATGGGGTGGTTGTATTGGACATCAAAGCATATAACTCTGTGATTGATGGATTGTGTAAAGCAGGAAGAATGGAGACTGCTTGGGATGTATACATGAAACTGTCTTCTAAAGGCTTGGTTCCAACTGTTGTAACTTATACTATCTTGATACATGGGTTTTGTAAAACGGGTCAGTTAACAAAAGTGGATGATTTGTTTTTGGAGATGCTGGAAAAGGGTTGTGTCCCAAATGCTGTTACTTTTAATGCATTTATGCGAAAGTTCTCTCGTTCTGATATGTCACCTAAAGTGATTGAGTTGCTTAAGAAAATGGTGGAGAATAAAGTTGTCCCGGATGCATTCATGGTCTCCTTAATATCAAAAGATGAGAAATTTGGATATGCTTTTGAACACTTAGGGATAAAATCGTGAATTATGTAAGAAGAAAAGTGATCCCGTGAAGTTGAAACCGGGTTATCATCCATATCAATCAGGCTCCACATATCCGAACAGGTATTATACATAGTGTTTGTTGTCTTTGCGTTAATTTGTGATTGTAATTCCTTGACATTTTGTTTGTGGGAATTTTCTTTGGTTGTTTATAGTTGCAGGGGTCGGAGCAGTTTGAATATTTGGTCAAAGTGGATATATATATCCATGAGGCATACAAGGTGAGAAATCCCTCAGACTTTTCAGTTTGTGGTTCCTTTAATTGTACTGATGGACTTTCTAATGCCTAACTATTTCAATGGATTATAAGGGGTTAGATTAAGTGATCTAATCTATACGTGCATGCAACCATACATAAATACATACATACATACATAAAAGTCAACCATTTCAGATAAAATTTTGAGTTTAAGATTTTCTCCTTCTGCCATACATAAAAGTCACCATTTATACTGTTGGTGGAAGGTTGCATCTTATACGGGCTGACTTTAAAAAAGCCAACTATATCTTTTTTTGGGGACAATTTAAGTTTTTAGAGCCTTTGATTTTTCTATGTGGTTTCTTCGTGGCTTATGTTGCATCTTATAAAGCAAAACATTGTTTCGTTTCATTTGCCTGATTATTATTATTATTATTTTTTATATTCACAGTGTTGCATTATGGAGATTTAATCCAAAATACAAGCTTAAGCTCGCTTTGAAGAAGACAATGCAGTTTTACATATGAGATTCACTTTCCGACTCAAGTCATATGCTCTCAAGTCTCAACCAGGTTTTTGACCTTGGTGTTGTTGTAGCAGTTAATCATTATTCTTTCAAAAAAAAAATTTATTCATTTAAAGACAGAAAACCACATACAATGGGTAAACTTTTACAGCCCATACATTTTATCTGGTTAGAATGTTTGAATCGGTGAAAAAATCTCATAGTATTGGTATTGAATGTGGACAATAATACTACAATCCATTCTTCATTTGGAGGTATAATTTGGTTGTATGTTCTGTTTTTTCTTTGACATGTAAGTTGTAAATGGGAAATGTTAGATCAATGTGATCAAATAAGAAATTGTTGCATTTTTTTGAGTAAAAACTAAAAAGTAAAAGCTGGTTGGAGAAGAACCAAAACTTTATACCTACCCACATTCATGTTTTGATTTTTAGGTTTCTTTTTCTTAGAAAACGGCTTGCTGGTTCAATTTAGTTTATTTTTCTAATATTCATGGAAACAATGTCATTTTATGTTATATTACTTTATATTAAAAAGATCCAAGTTGTATGGATCGGGCGTTAGCTTCTAGTTTGACCTCAACATTTGATATTCTTACAAATGAGGTCCAACCTTAGTTAAGAAGGTTTAGTCCCAAGCTACAAACTTTTAAGCTTAATTTTAAACTTTGAAATAAACTTTTTTTTTAATTAGTTATAATATTTTAATTTAAATAAAAAATGAATTTATTTGTTGAAATGTACTTTTTATAGGGAAAAACTTCTAGCCCTAAGATATAGATGTTACAATGGCGTTGAAGCTGAAGATAAGGTTGAGACAGATGATTAAAGTTTAACTTTTTTTTTTGAAATATGTGTACTTCTCGGAGAGACTAATACTTAGTTGTAATGCAACAATTGTGTCCAAAAGTGATAACAACCATCATAGGGTTATATGCTTGTGAAATTGCTATTCCATCAAACTTTATTGATGATCTTTCCAAAACAATCCAATTTCGAGTTGTTGATGATTTTCTTTTATCCACACCAAGATAAAAGGGGTGGGGGTGATGTTTACGTTTCACTAATGAATGTTACATTAAAGGGATGGAAGAGTTTTCAACCATTTTCTTGCCTATTCCATCCACACCAACGGTTTCGAATAAAGTAGTGACGTGGTTTTCAGAAGAGATTAAGATTGACTAGGAAAAGATGTTTTGATCTGTAGCATAATAGCAAAGTGAGAGAGTAAGGGGATGATAGACTTACTCACTTTCATTGGTTGTTGGGTTGATTATAAGGAAGGCTGGGATGGAAAAAAATCATTGATCTAAATTGGTGGAAATAGAATTGAAGGGTTAATGATTGTTTATTTAAAGAGGGGTTCAAAGAATAGAACACATATTTATTTCTTTTTAATAATAATATATCTAGATAAATATATAAACCATGAGCATAATATAAAATTTAATAGACCTTAATATCCAAAAAAGTAATGCTTTTAATTTTAGGGACCAAAACAATAATAAAACCCTCCTAAGAAGATGTTTTTTTTTTTTTTTTACAAATTGAAATTATTTAGCATGAAAATAGTAAACCACAAGGACCGGTTTTTGCAGTTGAAAAGAAGAGGGGCAAAGTGGGCAAAAACACAATCTTTAGGGTCCGGAGAGCAGTTTTTGAAAATTGAAATCCTCATTTTTTCCGTAAAAGCATATGGATATTTCAAATCGCACATCGGGAGGACATCGCCTCTCTCTTTTGCTTACTTCGCTATAAACCCTAGTAAGTTTTCTGCATTTACATATTGTTATTCGCTTTCAAATTATTACTAGGCTCTTGTGTAAATCAAGTCCATTTTTTATAGGAAGATAAGATTTTGCGTCTTCTTGTTAATTCTTGCGGGATCTATGTTTATTTCTTCTCTTTTCTAAGGTTCGTAACGATTTTCATTGGAAGTGTCTTCTGTGCTTATATTTCATTCCTTAGGCATAAATTTGTTAGATTTCAATCTTTGAGGCCTTTAGTTTATGTTGAATTGAGGAAGTTTCGTAGGTAAATTTTATGTTTAGTTATTGCTGTGTATGTACATTGCTTTAGGGCATTTTTTGTTTTGATTGTTGAACGTGCCCTAGTAGTGTCGGGATATTTGCTCTCTTTCTTTTTCTCACACATATTTTCTCTAGATCCTAAAATCTGATTTGGTAAAGGACTGTTTTACTTAACTGGTTTTGAAAAAAATAAAAAACTTAATCTTGATTTTGTTGATGCCAACAAAAAATCATATGAAATCTATTATTGATTTACCATTTAGGTTGTCCAAATGGTATTACTTTTTAGCTAAGGTACTGAATATCTTTTGCAAAAGGTAGAATATGATGGTATAGTTTTTTTTATATCTCTGAAACATGAGATTTAATGTTTTCTATTTCTAACTTCACTTCTCACAATCACAATCACAACTTAGGTTTCTGATCTCTATTCCGTATATAGTTTTAATGATCATTCTAAGCTGTTATTTAGTTATGGATATATGGGTTGATCGGTTCTCCTTGTTAGAACTTCTAGGAAATGGCAGAAGAAAACTTTGTTGGACAAGAGACAGAAGTGATGCCTGAGAACTCTGTTCCTGTAGAAGTTGAAGTGTCTGAGAATGAAGAAAGTGATGAGGTAGTAGAAACTGAAATTACTGAGAAGGAACAAGGAGATGCTGCCATGGAAATCCCTGCAGAAAAGAAATGGCCTGGATGGCCTGGAGAGAATGTTTTTAGGTTGTTGGTCCCTGTGCACAAGGTTGGCACCATAATTGGTCGCAAGGGAGAGTACATAAAGAAAACCTGTGAAGAAACAAAGGCCCGCATCAAGATTCTTGATGGGCCTCCTGGAACTATGGAAAGATGTGTAAGTTTATTAACAAATTTCTTTATTTTGAAATTGAAATTGCAATTGATTGCTGCATGTGTGGTAGAGTTCTGTTGGAATTGATCTATATCATTTTGGTACATCATGAATTGTAAATCTGCTTCAACTTATGCCTAAAATTATTTTGTATAGTGTATTAGTGTGTAATTATCTTTTTTGAAACAGAAAAGTAAGTATCCTAACAATGTTCAAAGTAAAATATAATTATAATTACAAGAATGTTACCTTGTTACATTAATCATTCTTTATGATTTTTATCAAATACCAACAGAAAGACCTTTCTGTTTGTGTGTCTACAACTAAGTTTCAGTTCAATAAGCTTTAAAACACAATACCTTAATACCACGATCTTTATTATAATTTAGTAAAAGAAGAGTATACACTGATATGAGGATAATTAGCCAATAATAGGTAGTAGACAATCTTAACTAACAGTATCAACATAAAGTTTGGATATAGATATAATGCAATAGAAGAAGTATATGGAAAAGTTGAAACTACAAAAATAAACAACACTCAACCTTAAGGAAACAAGTTTATTATATCACAATGACTAGGTGAATATGTGCAGGTTCTCTCAAATATAAGGCAACATTTCAATTGTCAAAGTGGTTTCATTTAGAAGAGCCAAAGATCCAGAAGTGCTGAAAAGTCACTCTGAATAAATGTCAGAAGTACCCCTGGTGGATGTCACTACCAAAAAGCTTCCTATGTCATCTGGTAACTTCAGAACTGGTCGGTTGATGTCTTGCCACACATTCTTATACAAATAAGCAAAATAGATTAACCAATAGGATGTGATCTATAAAAACAAATACAAAAATAAAGTATCAAATACATTTCACATAATTGAAGAATCAAGAACATCTTTAAGCTAATGATGTTAAACCCAGTAAAATATCTTTGGTATCTTCAAATGTATCAAGGTCAAGTATCCAAATATATCAAGTACTTTGAGAGCCACATCAAGATAAATCATGGTGTCATAATCTAAATTTCTTTTATAATCAATTATCCATTCTGTGTTTTCCCATTGACAGAAAATGGTGTGAAGAACGAAAAACATTAATTATGATGCATGCTAGCTTCTTATTGAAACCGTGTTGTTCTTAATCTTAAAGTAAAATAAGAAAAATTTATTAGTGTGTTGCTAATCAGAAGATATATTCTGTTTTATCAGGTCTTGATTTCTGCAAAAGAAGAACCAGATGCTTCAATTCCTCCTGCAATGGATGGTTTACTGAAAATCCATAAACGGGTAACGGATGTGGATGCTGATCCTACTCATCCGCCAGCTGGAGGTACAATCAGCACAAGGCTACTTGTGGCTGCCACACAAGCGGGAAACTTGATAGGAAAGCAGGGTGCCACCATAAAAACCATCCAAGATTCTTCCGGTTGTGTAATTAGAGTACTCGGACAAGGTTTTTTATTTATTTTTTAAATATATATTATATAATATAGTATTCTTAAAATAAAAGGTGAAATATAATTGTGTTTTTTGGATGCAGAAAACCTCCCTGTAATTGCTCTGCCTGATGATAGTGTTGTGGAGGTGCAAGGGGAACGTGATGGTGTACACAAGGCGGTTGAACTCATTGCTTCACATTTAAGAAAGTTTTTAGTTGACCGCAGTGTTATCGGGATATTTGAAAAACAAGTAAGTTAACTTTGCATTTTTATAATGTTTTGATTAAAAATAATAATAATCTGATTAATGTTTATAGATGCAAATGCCAAGTGCCAGGGCAAACCAGGAGATGGCGCCTCCCCAACCATGGGCGGCACCACCACCGGCTCAAAATTTTCCAGGTGGTGGGCCGGGATACCGACCGGCTCAATTCATGCCACCTCAGCATCAGTTTGACAACTACTATCCACCTCCAGCAATGGATAACCAGCTTCCGCCATCATATGGCAGAGACACCACCAGTATGGGTATGCATATGGCCCCACAGGAGTTGATGATGAGTAAGGTGTCACAGAACATGCAGGTTCCGCTGACATATGCGGATGCGGTTATCGGGACATCGGGAGCTAATATAAGTTATATACGGCGTGCGAGTGGGGCCACGATTGCCATTCAAGAATCTCGCGGAAATCCCGATGAAATGACGGTTGAGATTAATGGATCCGCTTCACAGGTTCAGACAGCTCAGCAGTTGATTCACAACTTCATGGCTGATGCTGCACAGAATCCAACTGCTGCTGCTGCTGCACCACCACCACCGGTGGTGGCTACTAGCCAAGCTGGCGGCGGTGGGTATAACCAGTATCCTGGTTACCCGTCTCAGCCTGCGCCACCTGGACATCCACCTGCTGGTGGTGGAGATTATGGCAGTGCCCCCATGTATGGGGGCAGTTATGGTTACTAAAGCCAGGCGGTTACAGTTTCTGTTGTATCCAAGATGCCTTGTTTTGTTTAGATACTCGGTTGGCTATTTGATGATTTGATAATACTGAATACAAAGTGTTTTTTTTTTTTTTTTTTTTTTTTTTTTTTTTTTTTTTTCCTTCCGTAGTAGATTATTTAGTGTGTGATTTTGTCTGAATGATGGTTTTCTGTTTATGGGCATATCATCCGTTTGTTTTGGTTGTTTTTTTATTTATCATAATTTGTATGTGCTGATTGATTTTATTGTGTCAAGATATATTTGGAAGTAAAACTCCAACCACACAAAAATTTATCGTTGGGTTTAATGAACCAGCACATCTAATAAGAAAGGATGTATTTCTTTAAATGAGGATTAAAAAGGTATTGAACGAGATTGTGATTCGAGACCAATTAGAGTAGTGTGATAAGCTAACAAATCCCATACCTATTTAAACTGACAAATGAGGGAGAATGGTCAAAATGGTCACAAACTACTATATGCCCATTAGACAAAATAATAAAAAAAACTTTTCTAATGACTCTACTAGTAAACCGTTCTAACAACTGAAGGGGTAAACCGGTTCTTAACCAATGTTCAACTTCAAGCCATTTCTTATAAATTGTTTTTATCTAAACCAGTTAAGTTTTCGTATCAGCTTTTTTGTGCATCCCTACCATGGATGGAATGAAATATGCTTGTCCTAATTTTCTTTCAAGGATAGAGATGCTCTTTTCTAGGCATGACATCAAAATTATGTATTACACCCATACAATGATATTTTAGTGGTTCAAGTGTGAAATTTATAAAGGATGTCCGAGGTTTAAACTTTAGCACGCTCAAAATTATGCTAGTGCTCTAATCATGTGTGAGTTAACATAAGCCGTCCAGATGATACATGATACATGGTCTATCATGTTCTTATAATTTTGAATTACCGTTATTTAATGTTTTCATAGAATACTAAAAGTTTAAATTATTAGTTCTAGTTACTTTTTAAATATATCAAAATATATTTTGTACTTCTATTTGAGTTTCATAATGTTTTAGATAATCATAAAAATGACCACATTGTTATAAAAAAATATGCCTTTGGTATCGTAATTTACTTTTCTTTCGTCAAGGTTTCTCAAATTTTTGTTAAATTCAAGTAAAAAACGAAAAAAATTCTCAAAATTTTAGGCTTGCTCTTCAGATTTCGAATACGTAGAAAATTCATAATATATTTAGTCTGAAATTTGAAATATGAATACAAAATGTATTTTTTGTGAGGAAAAATACCTAACATAAAATTAGTCCGAAACAAATCTGAATGGACTCATTTTGAAGACGGCAACCATTTTTACAAATTGTTAAAAAGTTGGTTATAAAGAGAAGCTCATTTTTCTGTATTCATTTTTTTGATTATATCTTTAAAGAATGAGTTGAGGTAAACACATCATTGTATAGAAGAAAATAAGGTAACCCCGCACGCCAAACTAGTTTGAAACCGGACACAAAAAAGGCCAAGGCCGGTCTTGACTCTGAGAACTCAACTCCATGATGATAGTGAACACTATCATTATTTTCCACTTTTTATATATAGATTTCCTGTGCAATTTTTTTTCCAGATTGGATTTTACGATAAATGATGGAATCATATATATCATGGAATGGAATGGAGTAAAAATTCAATATCCAGGAGATGAGGACTACAACCCCTACCACCAAAAGCCATAAACAAAGGACCATGTCTTTCACGAGGCCCTTTTGTTAAAATTTCTTTAACAGAAGTCTCATCTTATCTGATGTTCTGAACCTTAACTGGCCATAGCCCATAATTACAAAGAGGAGCTTTTAAGCCAGACAGACAGACTTTAATAATAAAACCTCACGCAAAACATTTTGCTTTAGAACATAACACAGAAACGTAAATCAGATTCAAACTTAAAATCTACACTGTCACTACACACGATTTTTAAGTACCTCACCATAGAATAGATGTTTCCACTTCCAGTTCCAGACGAGATTACCATTTCCTTCACTCATTATCCCATCAAAACTAACCCACCTTCTTCACCTCTCATATTCTTAATTCTTTCATCCAAAGATCAACTCCTCAAATTACATAAACACCCCCGGAGACGGAACCAGTTTCATCACATCATATCATATCATATCATATCGGAGCGGAACAAGTAGTTCTAAAATGGCCGGTTTGATTACACCGACTACAATGCACGATCCGTTTGACGGAGCCTCGATCCTCGGACCTAACCCTCCTCTTCCTGGGCCTCCCCGGTGGTCTAATGGACTTGGGAGGGTTAATAATAATATCCATAACATTATTACCACTACTCCCTTCCCCTATTTGTGAAGACCCCATTTCCTTCCACAATGTCTTATCAGGAACCGGATGTATCGTTTGAGAATACGCCTTCCTATAACTAGCAACCGTAAAACAACTTTCAGTAAACCTATGAACATTCTGCCTACACGACAGCAAAGCCGCCACCGCATGTGCACACGGAAGCCCATAAAGCTGCCACCCCCGACACAAACACCTTCGGTTTCTTATATCAACAATATTCGTCCCTTCATGCGATATCACCTCGAACTCCGCTTCGTTTGCTCTCAGCACTTGATAAGTCCGCGCGCGATCAATCGCCTCCGATACCCGTCGTTCCGCTGTCGGGACCAGAATCGAAGTCCACTGCATGCTGGCTTCGCGCCTCTCATTGAACCACATCATCAGCTGTCTCCGGATGCATTCCATCATTTGGATGATCGGGAGTCCGGAAGCTTCTAGAATCCATACATTCAACGATTCCACAATGTTAGCCGTCAGGTGGCCGAACCGCGTCCCTTCGAAATACGCGGTGGCCCACAACCGAGCCGGAACGCGTCGGATCCAGTACGCCGCTTCTTGCGACACCTCTTCGATTTCCAGGATTTTCTGTTCAAATTCCATGATTGTAAGCGCGTTGGCTGCGTCCCAAAGATGGTTCACCAGCATCGTGTTGTTGAACTCCTTCCGGAAGCTTTCGCTGAGGTGGCGCATGCAGAACCCGTGGAAAGCGGTTGGGAAGTTCGCGTCCACCCCTTCCACGATATTCTTCTGTCTGTCTGACAAAATCGTAAGCCTCGGCATGTTTTCAGTGTTGATTTCTAACAAGTTATGAAGCTCCAAAAGGAACCACATCCAGTTGTCTTGGTTTTCTTCATCAACAACACCAAATGCTAAAGGAAACAGAGCACCATCTCCATCAAACCCAGTAGCTAAAAGCAAAGTCCCCAGGTACTTGCTTTTCAAAACGGTTCTATCCAGCCCGATAAGCGGTCTACACGCGTTCAAAAACCCGTGTATCGAAGCTTGAAAAGAGATAAAAAGCCGCTGAAAACAGTTGTCAGAAGGATTCACGTAAACAGATGCGATACTATCGGGATTCGTGCTTCTAATCTGATCACAATACTGAGGGAGTAAACGGTAATCTTCTTCAAACGAACCACGTAAAGCTGCCATGATCCGTTCTTTACCTCTCCATGCTTGTTTGTACGATAATGTGATTCCATGAACACGGTGGATCTCTTCTAGAATCTCTTTGGGTTTGCATTGTGGGTTTTCTTTGAGGCGTTGTTCTACTGTATTCGCAACCCAGTCAACCGAAGCTTGTTGGTGTCCAAGATGCGCGATTCCACCACAGTTATGTTCCGAGTGGATTGTTCTGATTGTGAATGTTGGTACACCTGGCAATTTAGCAGCATGGATTCTCCAAGGGCACCCTTCGCTTGCACATTTAGCAGTGAAACGTGTCTTGTCAGATTTAACAGTTTGTATCTCAAAGTGAAGAGCGATTGCAGTGTGTCTTAAAGCCCTACGACAGCTCGCGACATCTGGAAACTCTTGACCCACCATTAATTCGTAGTTTGGAGGAGCCACTGTTCGGCTTTGGATTACTGGAGTTGTGAGGACGAGATCGGGTCTGTGAAAAGATAGAGGTAGAGGTACTACTACACCCATGTCAGCAGTGTTCTGGTGTACCACAAGCTCGTGGTTGTTATCTACAACGGGTAATCCGTGATCGTTGGATAAACCCATCTCGTGACATTGATCTGAAAGGACTAATTGGGAATCAGGATTTGTGGCACCATCGTTGTATTGGTTGTTGTCGTGTTGTTGATTGGTGTCATCGAATTCGGTTGTGGCTTCGTTTCCATGATTATGTGGATGTGACATGGTTGCAATTTCATGGTCTAGAAGTAGCTCATGATCATGATCAGTATCATGATCATGATCATGGTGTTGTGTTAGAGTTATGCGATGATTATTGTTCTCTCCTAATTCGGTCTCATGCTTGAGGTTCTGTGTCTGTCCCAGTTCAGAGGTATGATTCTGATTCTGTCTGCCCACATAATTCTGTTCATGTCTTAATTGGTTCTGAATGGATGATATGTCTGGCCTTGATCCAACAATCATGTCATGGTTTTCCATGATATTACTCTCACAAAAGTCACAAGTTCCGGAGGACAAGAAGCATCAATCTAGACCTGTTGCAACAAACTCATGTTTAGTTATCTTTACTATATCACAATCCACAATCATCAAGCCTCATAATAATGTATGCATGTATTTAGCAAAAAGCATAAACAACACCCATCAATCGACTACAGAATGTTAAAGTACAAAAGAATAATGAACTATCTGTGGTGTTTGGGCTGTGTTCATCATGCATTCTTTAAAGAGCGTAAGATCTTCAGATTGAGATTATCCTGGAATGTGATGTTAACATAATAGTTCTCGCCAGCTAAATAAAATCTCTACTTCTCTATGGAGTGTGAAGTTAATTGTTAACATAAGACAAAGTTTGATTTTAACAACCACTAGGTTTCACAATAAAGATCAAATGATTTTAACTTTTAATGGTAACTCGCAGACCATAAAGTTGTCTATGAATGAATCAGAAATTTACAACTAGAAAATTGACATTCATATGAAAACACAGAAACATAACAAATATACATATGAGTGAATCCAGAGCAACGAGTAGTCATTTAAAAGTAGAACCAAAATCGAAACTCACCAAACCTCTATCAGATCCAGCTACAACCAAAACCAATTTTCAACCTACAACTGAAGGTTCCAAGTGCGATAAAAATTAGAAAACCTGTAAAATCAGAAAGAAAAAATAAAATCAACACTAAAATTTTATAATCGCGAGATTTCACAATAAAAATATCAAGCTATTCGTACTTCTCCTGGTAACTTTGAGAGCATTTAGTCTAGTCGAATCAGAGATTGACATCTCAAATTAACACTCATACCAAAAAAAAAATACAGGTAAAATACAGATACGAGAATAGAGCAACAATCAGTCATCTGAAAGCGGAACCACAATAAAAACTCACCGAGCCTCCAACGGATCAAGCGATAATAAAAACCAAATTTCGCCACACAACTTGACGTTCTAAGTGCTAAAAGTTTCGAAAATCTGCAAACACAACCAGGCGAAACCGTGAGGAACAAATTTGAAATCACCCATTGATCTTTACATAAATCAACAGATGATTCAAATTTCTGTTTGAATCAGGCGTGGGGGAAGTTGAATTTGGCGGGGAATAGGAGGGAGTGAGTGAGAAGTGAAAATACCTGAAAGAGGGCTGAGGGTAGGGATGGGGAACACAGAAATTTTGAAGCAAAAGGGCAACAAGGGCACAAGGGGAAAACGAAGAATGAGAAGGTAGGGGTATGGATTGTCTTTTTAGGGCTTCCTTTTATCCAGAAAAAAAGAGGGCAATTAGGTCATCTAAGCCAACTTTCGCCTTCAATTTTTATATGTTACCAATTTTACCCCCCCAATAATTGCCAACGACTCGATAAAAATAATCTCCAACTTATGTTTGCTTTATATATATTATATTACCAAACACTCTTATAATTATATCATTACTCATATATATTTTTTATTTTATCTATTAAATATCCCAACATAAATTGCAAATAACGATTGCGATATTAATATAATATTTTATCGGTTATCGATTTATTAACGTCTCCTTAATATTTCCAAATTCCAACCCTACCTGTCGACCTGACATAACCCAAAGGCGTTTTAACTTTTACACATGACTCGTAAAAAAACGTTGAAAACATGAAAGCTATGTTCTGTGCTTGCTTTTATGTATGGATCCCTTTATTTCTTAAGGTAAATTTCAACCACTGTGAGTATGAGATAATCATCTGAAAGAAAGAAGTGAAAAATAACAAAATCTCACTTGTGTGAAAAAAAATATATAATGAGCAAGCAATAGTTTCACTGCTCGACAACCAAAACCCATAGATACCATCAAATCTGAGTTACTAACAATTCCACTTCCTGCTCTAAACAATTAAAATTACATAAAAATCAATAAGAATTCTTCAAGAAGACAATATTCTGTCTGCTAATGGAACCTCAAGCTTATGAAGAACCTCACTAACCACCTTTTGAAGGGTTACATGTTTAAAAAATTCATTGTTTGCTGTTTTTTTTGACAGAATTGTGATGTCTTCTTTTTTGTTCAAATTTTCATGGAGTAATTTGTTCCAAAAAGTGTCGTCTTCATTGAGGTTTGACTCCTTGATGAGCTGCTTGACTTTTTGTAAGTTTGCAACATTTCTCCCGGCCCCACAACCGGTGGCTGTTGCTGCACCCACTGCATTGGCTATTGTTAATGTATGAAGTAATGGCATCTTGTGTATGTAACCAAATGCAATCGCAGCCACAAAGCTGTCTCCACATCCAACCGTGTCCATCACTTCCACCTGTCCAAATACATTTTTAATTTTTATCATATCACATCATCCCAAAATTAATCATTTTTTTGACTTATGTATAAAATGTTACCTTGAATGAAGGCACACATGAAATGCCTGATTTGGTGATTAAAATAGAGCCCTTTGATCCCATTTTAATGATCACCCATTTTGTTCGGACTCCTTTACTTAGCAACTCCTTTCCAGCTGCTATTGGGTTATCCAACCCAGTCATTGATTCAGCCTGGCAATTAAAAAATTTGTTATTAAGAGGGAAGATAGAAAGCTTCAATTTTAACAAGATGTGATGCAAACCTCCTCTGAAGTTAGAAGAAGAACATCACTAAACCTCAGCAACTTAGCAAGTGCTTCTTGTTCTTCAGGTGTCCCAATAGCAAGAGATTTTCCCTTTGGTCCAGGGTCAAAAAAGACTGATGTTCCAACTTCAACAGCATACTCAAGGGCATGAGTAATCAGATTTGCAGGAAGCTCATCAAAGCCATAGCCATTACAGAAAAGGACTTTTGACTTTTGTATATTCCTCTTTACTTCATCAGATAATGTTCTCATCCAAGTAAATGCAGGCTCCTTGCTAAAATCTGCTCGACTAATAAACAAAATCTAGGTCAAATATTTGATGAATTATGATCCATAAAGTTGGTACCTTGAATATAAGCTACCATAAACTTGAACGAACCTTTAATTAATCACGTATACCTGCAAAACCCGTGTCTTTGTAAAGGATCCACCAAGACCCAACATAAAAGTGTCTCATATGCACTACTGGAACTGTTGATTATATCATCATCTTCTCTCATCCCTATCAGATTAATCCCCTCATCTTGAAGAACATCCAAGAGAAATTTTCCATATATTTCATCCCCAACATGACCAATTACAATGCAACGAAGTCCCAATCTTGCTGCTGCTATAGCCATGTTGCAGTTACCACCAGCTTCCCAGTGTTTCTATAAAGTGAAACCAGTCAGTTCAAGCCCTAAAGTGAGAGATGTTGATATATCATATATGACAATGACAGGAGGGGTGTGCAGATGTGCATTAAAAATCATCATATGCATAAGCATGCAGGTTGCCCAAATCCTAGAAACAGATTCAGATAAAAACTACCAAGTCACACATCCAAACATCCCCCCTAATCGGCTTTGTCAATCACTATAAATAAATAACTATTGTGACTTTCAAGTTGCATTAAGGAGTTTAAATGGCTAAATGTATGAATCCTATAAGAACATAGTTACAGCATGCTTGGAACTGGGAGCTCTGTCAAATTTCGAAGTTAAAGGCCATCTCAAATTAACAGAAATTAATCCGATTAACCACAGTAACTGATAACCAAATTGCACAAGTAATTAAATCGAAGAAAACGAAGAACATTTACAACAGACCTTATCAGGAGGCGATTTAGCAAGCTGTTCCATGTAATTTTTACGTTCGTCAAAGGACGAAGGGGGCAAATTGGGAACATTAAGCACAACGTCAACACATAGGTTTCCAAGGGTGGCGACATCAAATTCTTTCTTTCCGGAGAAATTGACGGAAGAAAGACGGCGATGCTTCGAAACGGACACATCAATTCCATAACTTATGCAATTAACAGGAACATGAGTTCTAATGACATGATTATGGTGAGTGTAGCAGTTGGTTTTGAAGTCGGAAATTCTTATTCTAGGGTTTTGGTATAATAATGGGTGAGAGTAAGATACCCCATAATTGGGTATGGGACTGTGTCGATTGAGGTCGAAAGTTCGTTGATGCATTAATGGAGGATGAGGGTGGAAGAACAGTACTGATGCGTATTACTTGTTTGTTTGTGAGGCAAAAACATGAAAGGGATAAACAAGGTAGATCGAAATTGCTATATTTTTCGATGAACGGCAAAGAAGGTGGGTGAAGTTAACTTTGATTTATTCCTGCCCCAACTTCATTGCTGGAAATTTACACTTTTGTTGTAAAATCTTGCGTCTGTACTTGAGGGATTAGGGTTTTTTTAAAATGAGGGAAGAGACAATTTTTTAGTCAACCGAAAAATAAAAAAATAAAAAAAATCATCAAGTGTCCAAAAGGAGGGAGGTCTTAAACACAATTTTATTAAATGATCACGAGGCTCTGCAGAAGTCCTTACACTCTGAGGAATCGGACACGTGAAGAAAAAGATAAAATAGTGCTTTTACATAGTTCTGCAGAGAGGGCTCTGCGGAAATGAATACGTCTCTGCAGAACGCATGTACACCTTTGAGGAAATGGTAGCTGAAAACATTAATTTTTTTTTTCCGATATTTCCGCAGAGCAGATCTCTGCGAAACGATGTACACCTCTGATGAATAATTACTCTTATGCGGAAATGGTTGGTGGAACGGTTTTGAACAACTAATGACGTTTTTTTTAATGGTATTATTGGTATTTTACCACTTTTACTGACTAGAAACTTTTTTTTCGTTTTTGTGAATGTTTTAATCACTAGAACTCGTTTTTTCATTATCTATGTGGAGAATGTTCCGAAAGAATGAGTTTTATTATTCTGTGTACGGTAGGGTTGTGTGTAACATCCATAAAAATTTAAACTTTTTCAACCAACCAAAAACCATAATTGTTTACATCGTAATTTTCAAAATATATTTAATATCAGAGTTTTTCCCAAAATCACAAGACACAACATGAGGAGGTGCACGATCAAGCCTTTGTCTTCCCACGATCATCTGAGGTACCTGAAACATAACCCAAAACTGTAAGCCTAAAGCTTAGTGAGTTCCCCCAAAGTACCAATACAACAAATAACACATATACAATAACAACAAACTATGAGTCCAATAAATCATCGGGTCGGTATACCCCAAGCCCCTCAACCATCGGGTTGGAATGCCAACATACTACGAGTCCAATCAACCATCGAGTTGGAATACCCTAGGCCCCTCAACCATCGGGTTGGAATGCCAACATACTATGGGTCCAATCATCATCGGGATGGAATACCCTAGGCCCTCAACCGTAGGGTTGGAATGCCCCGGCATGTTGGCTTACACACAAAGCAGTGAAGCCTCAGCCACCGACCAAATATGTGCACATATAACAAATAGTCATATAACAGTCTACAACCAGTCAAACAGATCTACAGATACAGATCACAACAACATAATAGCATGCACAACAGGATATCAATCCAATGGGCCGACATTGGTGCCTTCGACCCGCAAGAAATAGTGAGGAAAACTCACCTCACAAAGTAGAATTCCACTGAAAGTCTCTGACTGCTGGCTCACGGAAATCCCCGCACTATCACAATAGAACAATCATCCAATTAATATTTGGATCACAATCCAAACTAACAGTTCATCATTATGGTAAATGACCATTTTACCCTTTACTTAGTTGGGCTAAGACCCAGGCCCATTTCTTGATCCAAAAAGGCCCAATCACAAAATAACCATCCAAGGCCCATAATTGGCCCAATTTTCCAAATTGAGCCCAAACTCCTTCTTGGGCCTTATCCTAAGGTCCAACTCTTCATTTAGCCCAACACACTCATACTCAGATGGTCCAATAAGGGCCCAAGCATTCAAGCCTAAAAGGTGGCCCAAAACTCGAAGCCCAAACTCTTAAACCTAACAGACTGAGTACGCGGGGTGTACCTAGCTGTACGCCCAACATACTTCGCATTGACCCAGAATCGCGCCACTGACCTCCTACGCCCAGCGTACGCCTTGGTACGCCCAACGTACACGGTGGCCATGCAAGACTTCGATTAAGAGCTTATCCCATTTAGTCCAACGTCCAACTTTCAGACCCAGGTCTAAAGGGGTGTTCCAAACCATAAAGTTTCCAACTTTATGGTTATGCATTTCTTAATAAGGCCCAACACCAAGATTCTAGCTTGTGTTAACCACTAAAGACCTCATGCATGCACCAAAAGAGCCAAGATAGCATTTTTATGACTTATTGCACCTTATTTCTTCAGAAAGGACGAATCCTTTGGTCTTAGAGTAGCTCATACTCATTAACACCAAGAAAAGGGACTAAGATCATATAATTTCCTCATGGAAATATCTAAAAGAAAACAAGACAAGATTAAAGCTTTATACCTTCTGGAGCTTCTCAAGAAGGTAAGAATCCCAGATCCACAAGTTGCTCCCTCACCACGGCTTCTCCAAGAATCTTCTTCTTCCTCTAACACACCAAGAACACACCAAAAAGCACACACTTGAGCTCCAAAATGCACACTCAAAGATTAGGGTTTGCAAAAACGTCCCAAGCGAGTGGAGGCTGAAAGGTGGAAAGGAAATCAGCCAATATGATGCTTAAATACTCATCAAACCCTAAAATTTAGGGTTTCCTCCTGACACGAGTACGACCAACGTACGTGAGTGTACGCCCATCGTACACACGTGTACGCTTAGTGTACTCCTCCAACTCATATTAAAAAAATGCCACTAGGGCTTCAAGGCATAATTCTTGGACTTAGGGATCAAATTGACTTATAATTTATAACCAATGGATAGATTTGAAAATACCTGAAAACCGGGGTGTTACATTGTGGCAGTTGATTAATGGAAATGAGATTTACGTTAGAAATAATGTTAAAAACTTTGGTTTAAATCATCCTCCTAATTGTGGACCATCAGATGTTATTACAAATGGTTGGAAGTAAGGCAGGTGTGTTCAATAGTCATATATCTTTGTCTTTTAAACACCCAGACTGTGGGTATGTCATGGAGCTTGAAGATGAATCAGATGTATTTCAACCGAGACATGTAATGTCTGAAACAAAGCTGACAATACATTTGTATTTATCGGTGCTTGGTGAAGAAGTTGAAGAACAACCAGTGATGAAGTTTCAGAACAACGAGTTTATTGGAGAAAAAAGTAGTAGAGGTTGTGGAGAAAGACAATCCGGTGGAAACCGTTCCTGTGGACGAGGAAATGACGTGGGAGTGGGTTATCAAAAGAGAGCTTCTGATAACTTTGTATCAGATAATGATCAAGAACCAAATTTGTGCATGATAGAATTAGAACAAAAAAAATTATTCGAGTTTGGAGAAGTACCTGATTTTGATGATCGATTATTTGATGAAAAATCAATTGAAGGATAGTCAGAAGATGAGTACACGCAAAGAAAAATTGCTTTTAACCCATGATATTGTATTCCTCTCATTCCTGATTATCCAGGATCTATTCTTGAACCTGGACCATTTCACAGTTTAGGTCTGAATGATAAAATATTTGTGAATCAAACCTATAACACCAAAAAAGACCTAGCATCTTCTGTTAAAATCAAAGCCGTTAAAGAAAAGTTTCAGATTAAGGTACAAAAATCAACCAAATCTCGATACCAGGTTGTTTGTTTGCAAGAAAACTGTCATTGGCGTTTATATGCAACTGTCATTAAAGGAACTGAAATGTTTGAAATTAAGACGTTTCATGACGAGCACACATGTTCTTCATTACTTATACACCCAAATCATAGGCAATCAACTAGTGAAGTTGTAGGAACCATAATACATTACATTATGGGTCAAGGTAGTCTGAGAATTTGGAGGCCTAAAGATATAATCATAGATATGAATGCGTTGCTAGAAATTAATTTGAATTATTCACAAGCATGACATGCTAGAGAATTTGCTATAGGCTTGATGGCGGGGACCCCCGAAGAAAGTTTCTCCAAACTTCCAGTTTATTTTCACAACTTGAAGAAACATAATCATGGGATTGTGACATACATACAAATTGATTTGGAGGATCGCTTCGAGTATTGTTTTTTCGCTATTAGTTGTGCGGTAAATAAATAAATTAAATTTAAAACTTTGTAAATAGACAAAATTGCAAGAATGGTCCCTGTGGTATGTCGTAAATTGCCACTTTGGGCCAAACAGGTTTTGACTAGCACAAATGGTCCAAAAGTTTCCATTTTGTTGCTAGTTTGGTCCATTCTGCTTTAATTTTTTATAAAATGACGATTCTGCCCTCTGTATTTTCTTTTTTAATTTTTGTATTACAAAAATAAAAGAAAAAAGAAAAAATACCCTTTCTCTCTCTCACACACACAAACACACACTCTCTCTCTCTCGTTCCTCTCTCTCCCTCTCATGTTATTTATCCTAGACACATCTTTTTACTCATCTTCTTCTTCTTCCTCAAGAACACTCAAGAACATCTACCATCACCACCGTTCGACCACTGTCCGCCACCATCCACCACCACCGTCCACCACCACCCACAGGTGAACAAACACACACGAAATCAGATGTACATACAAACACATGAAATCTAAAGAACACAAAAACAAATAAACACAAACATCCATCGATTTTTCAACAGATTTAAAACAAACACACACATATTAAACACACACACACAAAACCCAAAAATCGATTCCTCTCTCTCTCTCTCTCAGATCTAAAACGTCATTTTTCTTCTTCTTTTTCTTCATCTTCTCCCTCACACACACAGATTTGAGGTGGTGTTTGAAACCAGACCCGGGTAGTGTTCGTCATAAATCCGGTTTTGCTAAGGGTCTCGTCGTGGGTTTAAACAACCCTAGCTTCGTCGAGCAGTACATCGCAGGTGTCTTCGCCTCGATTTCCAGTAGCGAAACACCCATCTAAAAACCCTAGCCGCCAAGAAACCCTAACTTCATATCTCGATCTCCTTTCTCTCGTTGTCGGCTGTCGAGGTTCAAAGGGAGGGCATCAACGATCGAAGCAGGTGTTTGGGGCGATGCTACCTGACCGGAGGGAGGCGGAGGGGCAGCCTAGTCCGGCGACAGTTGCCGATTTCTTCTTCTTTTTCTGGTGGTAAGCAAGAAACTAGAGAGAGAGTGTGTGTGTGTGTGTGTGCGTGTGTGTGTGTGAGTGAGTGACAGAGAAAGGGTATTTTTTTCTTTTTTCTTTTCTTTTTTCTTTTCTTTTTTTCTTTTCTTCTTTTATTTTTGTAATACAAAAATGAAAAAATAAAATACAGAGGGAAAAATCGTCATTTTA